AAAATAAGTCATTTAAAATCTTTTATTTGTCTTACATCTGGTTTCGGTTCTTATCCTGCATTCTTAAGTATGAAGGTAAGGATTCACAAAACCTGGTTACCCCCACTCAGTCTTTGCACCATAATAGCTTGAGCCCACAGACTATTCTCTTAACAAAACAGTTGCTGACTTTAGCCTCAGCTCTTTGTATAGCCAACTCTGTAACCGTGGGTAAATTATATTAAAAAAGAAACAACAAGACCCAAATGGAGTCATGTTAAGTACCATTTCAGCAAACCAATATTAAACATCTAACATTGTGATTTTAACATCTCCTGGAAATGAAACTTTTAGTTGATAATCTGGAAATTCCTGGTCAGCACTAATGAGGTAATATCTGACCCCTTCCATCACTCATAGAAAGGTTATCTTGTCTGAAACAATACTGTCATCCTTTCCTCCATCCACTTTCTGTCTACAAAACCTTTTCATGTTGTACAGTTCTTCAAAGTCTCTTTCTACTTGCTATAAGAGATACTGATAGATTTATGAAACACTTAATAAAGTCAGTTAGAGCTTTACATTTACTTGGTAGAATATTTTAAAAGATTTATTTATCCATACAGAACTGGGGTCCAGGCCAGAGATACAGGGCGGTGAGAGGATTCACCAGAGACAGAGTGGGGAGCAGAACAGGCAGACTGTCAAAGAACACTGCTGAGGGAATCAGCAGGCAGGCCAAGAGAGGTCTGCTGTGCCATGTGGATCACCTCTGCGTGTAACTTCACCAAGGAAGTTTCTTCCATGCTGGAGAAAGCTCACTAGAAAGAGTTATGTTTAAGATGTTATATGGCAGTAAATCTGCCACTCCCAAATGTGCCTTTGGCCTAAGGATTATTTCATGGGCAGGGCTCTGAAGCCTGGGTGGAGGTAGCTCTTATGTAAGAGATATGGTGTAAAGGAAAATCTCTCTTTGTAAGGGTGTCTCTTTCACTGTTTTGAGACCTAATCTGCTTAACACTTCTCAAAGGAGACTTTAAATCTGTTTAAGAGTCATGTCTTAGTTGGCTGGGTCTTTTCTGATGACCTTCTATGTCTCATTGTTTGCCCCCAACCTTAAAGTTCTTTCTCTCTAGCTGAAGACATTTAAGGAGGTGAGTGAAGTCATTGTCAGGCTCACTGGGATTCAATCACCAGGAAGTGTAGGTGTTATTATTGAACATTTTTTCCTCATCAATCTACATCATGATTATTGGATTGTTTGCCAGCCTGAAATAACCAGGAGGATGGGAAGAGACTTTCTCCTGTGTCCCTATAATTCCTAGCAGTGGGTAGCTTATTCTCCAGGATTGGAGCTCTAGGATTGGAAAGGCAAGGAGTTTTTGCTCACGTTGTTACTGTGGTATATTGGTAGTAGCCTACATTTAACTGGCAACACTACAAAAGTAAAATATATTAATGGATGGCAAATGAAAAAGGGAAAGTTTTTCAGATTCTGGTAGCCATATGAGATAGAAAACCTATCACTGTTCTGAAGTTTTCTTAGGTATGAAAAAGAATTTGGTAGCATCAAAGTTATTTGACACTCTCAATCTGAGAGTAAACATAGTTTCTTTCCAGATGCTGAGTCATGCTTATAATGACAAGAGGAAACACTGAAGACTCTTAACTTCTCTGAAGTATCATGTCCTATGTAGTACTTCAGTAGGTTACCTTCTGCTGAAAGAATTCACACATTTAAATTTGGTGATGGGAAGTACTTCCCTTCCTACACCCCTCACTCATATATTTTCCTTTCAGCCCCCAACTCCATTTGTTTGGTTTTGTTTTCATTCCAGGAGCAGCTGTAACAAATAAATGTATGTAGGGAAAAGTTTTTTTTTTTTTAAAGATTGTAGGTCTAAAGTAATATTTAATTATGAATAATTTCTAAATTAATCATTACTCCCATCCTCAAAATTAGCTTAAAAAAGAAATTGCTTAGATGTATGGAACATTATACTCCTGTTTCAATACTCCTATAAGTAACCAAATCTTCAGTGGAATTCTGCAAGATAGAGAATCAGAGAGAAAGAGGTAGAAAGGTGCCTTCAGTATTTCAAAATATTGCTCAAGGCCTCCATGGTGGCTCCAGGGGTTAACTTTCAGCACTACAAAGCTATTCTCAGCACTATGAAGCTATCCTCAGCAACTGCAGCTGGAGCTAAATCCCCAGTCAGGGAACTAACCCACATGACCTCTTACATCTTTTCTTCTGTCCAGTCTGCTCCTCCCCTTAGCAGTGTATTTTAGTAGATATGCCGGTTCTGCTTACGACTCTTCTCTGGGGAATCCTCTCACTCTGCCCCCCAAACAAACACCTCTGGCCTATACCCCAGTTCTTGGATGAATAAATAAAATAAACCTTTCAAGAAAAAATTACTGTCTTTAATTTTAAAACCTTCTTTATTAAAAGCAAATATTTATTCCTTCTAGAAAATATTGATGGAGCAGATGGGGAATAGTTTTTGATTTTACATGTCTTTTTTACATGTGGGCCTTGAAATACAAATCTCAGAAATTTGAAGTTAGCTTTTTTTTTAGCCACCTTTGTTTTGAGCAAAAGTAGATACCTAATGTATGCTGAATAAGTTTAATTCAGCAATGTCTCTGTCCATTGCGTGGAAGTGATTATTTTACAACAATTGCCTATTTATTTTTTTCAAGGTTGTAGTTGAGTTTAGATACAAGTATGGAAGGTGGGAAAATGGAGGACAAAAGCAGGTTATTTAGAAAAAGAAGATCCAGAGTTAGCTGCTAGCTGACCATGTTCAATGTCATCATCAGCCTCCCTTAACCTTCTCATAGATACCTTTTTTCCATTCAGCCTTTCTTGAATTACACCAGATGCCTAGCATGCTTCTTCTTTCTTTTGTGCCTCCAAATTATGTAAGTGAAATGTCCAGTGCTTCTGACTTTTCTCAACATAGTATCTCTACCTTCTCCCATGTCCCATTCCATCAGGGTCTGGTTTTGGTTAGGCTATTACAGATGGTAATGAGTTACTGATGACAACTGAGTTCCTTTTGGGTTAGCTGGCAAGGTGAGCAGGACTGGTGAGGAAAATCAACAGTAGACAGAGTTTGGAACAAATGGTTTAGCTAGGCATTCACTTTAAATCAATGAACACTTATCAGATGTCTATAACGTTGCAAGCACTGCTAGGTCTCTGAGTACAGAAGTGAATATCAACACTGCCCTGTTCTGGGAGAATAACTGGGAGGGAAATCCAGGACAAGCACCTGGATTCATTCAGATTATTCCTTTGTGCGCAACATGTTGGTCTTATAGAAAATGTTTGAAAAGATGTGAAATTTGTATATTATACAGATCTTTGGCCCAGACTGCTCATAAGAATTACCTGGAGGGGATTTTATTTTGAGTGTAACTGGGATACGGAGGATTGAGAAGGTTTAAACCAGTAGCACTCAACGTTTTTAGTGTGTAACATAATCACCTGAAAGTCATGGTAAATCAGAAACTGGAATCCAGCATTCTGGAGTATGGGCCAGATGCATTCCTATTAAGGTCTCAAGTGATGCACTTGAGATCATTGCCTTTGTTACTTAAACTTTGAGAGTCACATTTTTAAAATATAAGGTTCCATCCACAGCTGATTGAATTTGTGAGGGGATGGGAATCTGCCATTGAACTCCCCTCTCTGCTCCCTTGTGCATCCAAGGCTAAGAACCACTGTTTCATTGGGTAGATTACTCCAGATTGACAATTTTCTTGAAGTTAGTGAGTTTGGGACTCAATGATATCTACACATTCCTCTGGGTGACAATTCTGTGGTATTTAAAGAAATAAGTGAATAAATAAGTAATTGACTCAAAGAATCCACTACTGAGATTTTTGTTTTAAACTGATTTGACTGTGTTCCATTGGAAGACCTTTCCAACCACCCACTGGGTATTTTCCAAAACCCTAGTATAAATATTTGCATAGCATTCAGATGTCCGCAGAAGAAAGCTCTTTAAGTAACTTCATTTGAACTCCACCTGCACCCTCCTTGGGTTCACTTGGGCTCGCCTGGCACTTGCAGTTCCAACAAGTGAGCTGGGCATGCTCAGTGGGCAAGGTCGGCTTTGGGGGGGTGCAACTGGGAAGCTCGCTGCTGGGCTCGTCGCCTCCCCCCCACCTGTGCGAGGCTGGGCCTTTGCTCAACATCCCAAGCCCTGGGGCTTGAACTTGGTCTACCCGGCGGGTTCCCGCGCTGACATTCAAGCCAGGGTGGGGGTGGGGGATCAGGACGCCTACAGAGCAAGCCCGGGAGCCCAGGGCCAGGGCTTTAGGCTCTGACGACGGGGTCCCAGGGGTCCACTCGCCTCCAAGACGCCAGTCTAGACCCAGGGAAACATGTCTGCCGAATAGGGAAGCCAGATTCAGGGCTGGGAAACGAGAAAACAGGTAAGCCAGGCCCTCCGGCTTAGACTTGGGCGAGTGTCTCCTCTCTCCCGGGCTGGTGGCGAGGATGGCCGCGAGGGGGAGGGCAGAGGAAATCCGACACCCCCACCATTTCCTCCTGGCCTAGCCAGGCCGAGGCTTCCCCGCCTGGCAAGGCTAGGGGAAAAGCCAGGAGAGCCGCAGCGCGAGGCTGCACGCGCAGCCCGGGGCGAGGGCCTACGCCTCCGCCGCGCCGCGGCCCCGCCAAAGGGCCCCGGGGCCCCGGGTCCGGGTTGAGTCGCGTTCACTGGCGGCGGAGAGTCTCTCATCCGCCGCCCGCGCTTCGCGGCGCACAGGGAGCTCCCCCTTCGCCGCCTCCACTCCCGGGTTCCCGCCTCCACTTCCGCGTTTCCCCGCTGGGCCGGAGGAGCCTGGGCCCGCGGAGCCGGGCTGGAGGCGGCGGCTGCGCAGCCCGGGCGGCCCCTGGGGTGGGAGGAGGAGCGGGAATGGGAGGAGGAAGTCGCCGGGAGGCGGGGGCGCGGCGGCGCCGGGCGTGTCAGGTTACACTCGCTCAGCCTGCCCCGGAGTGACATCCGCGCGCTCCCCGCCGCCAGCTCCGCGGCCGAGTCTCTGATTCTGGGGAGACAGAGACTCCGCCTCGGCTGGAGGAACTAGGTGCTCCGGCTCTCTCCTCGCTCGAGAGGACCAAGCTCAGGTGTGTGCTTCCTGGGAGACCCGCGTCCCCAGCCCCCGAGATTGTAGCCGGGAGTGGTCCTTTGCTGAATCGGGAGAGCCCTCTAGGACTCCGGTGTTGGACGAGAGGTGGCGGGAATCTGGGAAAAGATTTCGAATTTGCCCCCAACAACAGAAGCTTGACTCTTTCTGATCCCGGGTTGCAGCAGTAACATTTTGAAGCGCGGGAGGGTGTAACACTTTTGCCCCTTTAATTAAGTGGCAGGACTTTTGGGCGAGGGTTGGTATCCAATGGAAAGTTTACTGCAAACTTTTGGCTGGTGAATGTCGCTCCGCTGAGAAGGATTGTTGCTCCTTCCGAAGCGAGGGAGAGAAAGATTATAGAAGGGAATTGGGGCATCTTTGAGAACCAGAGCTGCTGGAATGTGACAGGTCTAGGAGGAAAGGGAAGGTGGACACTGATGAACTTAAAGCAGCTTTCTCGTTCCCCATGTAGTAACTTCTGTGAGCAAAAATAGATTTGCAAGAAGTGCTTTGGCAGCGAGGTAGAGCCTGCTGAATGAAGTGCTGCTCTTAGCAGTTGATTTCTAGACCGCCTTCCATCTTCTCTAAGGAGCATTTGCTCCCAGATCAGCCTTTCTCAGGAGTTCCAAAGTGATTTACAAACAGATTCGCACAAAGGCTTGGTGACGTGGGCCAAGCCAAATTACACAACACATTATAAACATCACGGGGGGCAGCTATAGAAATTGCTGACAGCTAATTTAGTCAACTTATACTTGTATAAACAGGTAAGGGAAGGAAAGGCTGATTAGTTTCACAGAGCCTTTATTGCTTAAAACAAAGCTATTAGAATTTGTATATGTCTCACCTCTAAGAGATCTGAAGTTTCTTTTTGGAGTGTGGAGGGTAATGATAGGTGCCACACTGGGAGCCAGGTATTTCCTGCTAAGTTAGCCTCTGAGCCCTTAAGCTCTTGCTTGCCATCACAGAAAGTTGGAGGCCATTGTCTAACCGATGTGCAATCTGGGGAACCTTATGATGTGGATGTGTGTCCCCTCCCTTGCATGGGGGCCTTCCTTATTGTCAAGTTACATCACTCCCTTGATTTTTCCAAATCAACTCTTCAGATAGTAATGACTGAACTGTGGAGCTCTGGATTTGAGAACCAATATTGTTGGAGATGTCCATTCAGCTATCTCATAATCTGCTTATTTCATAAAAATTTTCTGAGTGTCACTAAACTCTGCTTCGTTTTTCTTCTGTCTGATTTGTTAAAGATGCAAGACATGGTTTAGTAATTGACAGGAGGACCATTCTGTTACAAAGTGATAGTGGGTTTTAAACCTCCCCAGTTTAGTTTTGTAACTATTTGATCTCTTTATAGATATTTAACATATTTGACTATTATTGTACAGAAGTAATTTTGGTGTTATAACAAATTACCCTATTTTGTTTTCTGTTTTTAGTCTTATGTTTCTAGACTCTTAAGTTCTGTGAGAGAGCTTAGTTTGCCTCATACACTTGTATTTCTGATGCCTCAAGTGGTTACTAGCTTGTAATAAGCACCCAATAATGGTGTCATAATGAATGAACTGTTGGACAAACCCTAGCTTGTAATAAGCGCTCAATAAATGTTTTCCTAGTGAGTGACTAAACTGTGGGACAAACTCTAGCATACTGTAGTGGGGGAAGAAAACCAAAGACTTTGGCCTTAGGCAGCCTAATTAAGCTCACTGAGTCTCAATTGTTTCATTGGCAAAATGTGGATAATTATATGATATTACATGTGAAATCACTAGTCATGTACCTTTTAGGTAGTAAACTTCAAAGTATTTGCCTTTTTATTTTTCTTTTCATATTAAGAGATTTGGGCAAAGTATGTAGTTAATAATATAATTTAGATGTTGCTTATTGTATGTCAATTATCTTTTTTTTTTTTCCATTGAAAATGGTGTTTATGCTGAAGGGACAAAGAGAAGTAAATGGACATTATGGTTAGTAGAGAAGGGAAACAATTTCCTGATTGTTATCTAATTTCTCCTCTTTATTTTTTTTAACTTGACGATGTTTCTGCCTAGGTTTACCTATACTTGATTCTTTCTGCTTGTCAACACCTGGATTGACAAATAAGTTGACCCGAGTGAAGAAACAACACTTAGAAAATTAGAATCAAATATATATAGACTGAAGTTTTCCATAGTTTATGCAGCATTAATAGCAACAAGTACCTAGGTAAAGAAGAAGTATGGTTTTCATGTTTGAGGTTAAAGATTGCTTAGCAGGGTAAGCCATAGAATTTAAGACAGTTAAGAGATTGAAATAAATCTTGCAAAATAAGATGTAAGTGGTTGGATATTGGCTATAACCAATATGGGTGTGGGAGGTAAATGTTTTGACATGGGTTGATTAAGTAGTTGGAAGACAATTTATGGTGAAGAGAATGTGACTTTAGCAAGAGGGACACAACATTTCCTGAAGATTAAAGCAAAAGAAGATGGTTGTTTCAAGAATGTTTGCTATTTTGTACTTACATGTATTGCAAAACCAGCATTATCAAAATCTTTCAAAAATGAACTTACTATGGAAATGTATGTTAGAAACCTACTGTTTGTACATTAAATAATACTTACCACTGTGTTGCTGAAGTTTTAAAACCCAGGATTGGAGTGAAAAAATTATTACCTTTCGTTCTTGTCTCTTGTATCAGGCAATTGTCTTGTTAATCTCGTCATTTATATACGATGGGATGTTTTTCATCTGAAGTTTCAGGGGAAAATTACTAGTCATAAGCTTTGTGATCACTACAACTGGCTAATTTCGGAATTGTTATTTTGGGAGACAAGAAAGGACTGAATGGAACTAACCTAAGAAGGTGTTATCAAAGTACTTTAGATGCTCATTGTCAAATAATGATATTCAACAGTAAATTTAAAGATCTCACTGTCTTCAGAAACCAATTCACGAAAAAGACAGTATCCCATCTAGTTAGTAGAAGTGCTTTGAAGATTTGTACAAAGTGGAAGGTTTTTAAAGTCCAAAAAGGTGGGGGAAAGGAATAAAGAGGTTATTTATCAAGAGAAAAGTATTGTTTTAGGCTGTCCGCTCTCTTAAAGAAAGGCAAGGGATATTAAGTAGACTTCCTCACTTACGTGATATTATTTCTCACTTATGTGAAATTCTAGATTGATTGATTTAAAGTAGTAAGTCTTGGTGGGATTTGGCATAGATAACACGGGCCTGTGGTTTCTTTTCTTAAACATCATTAAAATATGAAATTCCTTTATGACTAATCACCTTTGAGATAGGAGGAAAACTTGGAAGTTGTATCAAAAAGGAGAAAGGACTAATTGAAGGCATGGATGTTGTCTTGCTTTAGAATTGTTAGCATGGGGAAGAGGTAAGTTGGAGGGAAAGATGATGAGCCCAAATGCACATAAGAGACTAGGGTCAAGGTGGCGATAAGCCAGCAAATCTAGCAATTGCAGAGGAGACTTCTTCCTGTTTTACCTGACCAGGTTTTGGTCTTATTAGTCTACAGACTGAGGGACACCTGGGGATCCCTAAATATGTATATATCGTAAATGGGTTTTGCCATGTGCCACATAAAGACGAAGCAAATTCCTAGTGTGAAAGAACTTTAGTAGAACAGAGTGTCTGAAAAGAAAAGAGAAGTAAAGTAGTTTCCCAATGAAACACCCAGTTACCCATCCTGTCATGGGTAAATGCCCAGCTAAAAAGGATTGGCACAAATTGAGACTACTGAGGCCCAAAAGCTTGCCATAAGGTTAAGTCACCTTCTGGCAGGGAACCACAGGGAAGGGCAGAGCAGGTCAGGTAAGTCCAGAATGAAAGGAGCATAACTGAGGTACAAGTCAAGGTTAAAGCTACCGTCATTAGCCTCCCCAGGGCTCCGACCATGTCTCTTCCAAGTGCCTTCTCATGTCTTGGCTATGCCTATCTTCTTCCATGTCCCCCAAGTCTCTTGTGCAAGTCCAAAGCTGAGAAGCCAGCTTCTTCACATGGGCTTCTGCTCCACGAATGCCTCTTCCAAGTTTCTTCAAGCTTCTCTGCAAGGTTACTCTCTTTGCTCAGCTCTGCCCTTCATTAGGTAGGGCAGGGAACATGGAACCTTCCTCTTTTTGTGGAAAATACGCTCTGTGACAGTCTAGGGCAGGGAACATGGAACCTTCCTCTTTCTATGGAAATTATGCTCTGTGACAATCTAGGGAACATTTAAAAACAGGAAGCACAAGGCATGGCTTGAATACCTTAGGATGTTTGGATAATGATTGTGGTCTGAGATTGCCTAGAACTTTTATTTAAGAGTCTTGACACATGTGACCATGTTTCTTTACATTTTTTCCTTGTTCTTTAGGGTTTTCATCTTTTGCTGGAGGCTCTTAATGTTAAAAATTTCTTGTAGATCCATAGATGTTCTCTCATTTTCAGCAAGATAGGTTCTTTCAGAGTTATTCTGGTTCATGCAGTAGACAAAACATGGTTTCTGACTTAAATTAGATCAAGCTTTAGTTATATTTAGTTATATTAGTGGGGAAAAATTAGTTAATTGAAATATTTTTCTTCTAACTGAAAATTATGAGATGATTTTAAAACATTAAAACATTAAAACATTATTTGGGGACATCTTTTTAATTCAGACAAAATGGAATTATTGCTAATAAACTTTATTTTGTAATACCATGATATTAGAAATGTGCCTTATTTTCAAACAATGTTTAACTTAAAAATTTCAAATCTCATGTTTTTAAAATTATGTCTTTTGTGGAATCTCGTATTTGACTACCCGTACCTATCTCCTTCTTTAAAAGGTTATAAGATAGAGAGAAATGCAAACCTCACTAACCAAAAACAGAGGATGATTTTATAAAATGAAGTTTGCTAGAACCTGCTATTATCAAATGAGAGGTCTTTGAATATGACATGATGACATATGCTTATAGAGCTTTATTAATTACCTGACATCCATTGGTGAACACTAAGGCCAGTTGGGTTATACAC